TGGTATGATAAGTATCCCACCGGACAAGAAGGTGTAAGAACTCGTGGACACATCCAAAAATACCCACAAGCCCCTTCTGCTGCTGCTTTTTTTTTTCTTATCCCTTCTCTCTCTCTCTGTTTTTACTTTATTTTTTTTCTTTTTATTTTTTTTATTGCTGAGTAACAGCAGATAATCTGATTCAAACGCTGTGCTGTTTCTCCCCTTCCTCCGTGAACCGGTTTGTTTATTTAAACAAGTGGCGGGGGAAGGAGAGTGCCAAGAAATGTTGTTTTTGGAAAAGAGCAAATGTGTGTGTTTCGTGCGCGCGTGCATGCGTGTGTTTGTAGGTGTGTGTGTGTGTGTGTGTGTGGCGTCTGGCCTTGCCAAGCTCCCAGGGCAAAGCTGAGGCTCCTCGACCGCAACTGTTTATTTACAGGTTACACTACTGTTTATTTGAAGACTATCAGATCGGCTGGACCTCTGCACAGGACACCTTTTTAGATGCAGATAGCCAGGCCCCTAATCACCCGGTTCTCCACTCTACTATATATGAGCAACCTTATGTAAATAAAGAAAAATCAACATATTTAAAACAAACAACGGGTGCATCTAAATAAATCATAAAAGCGCATTTAGGTCAGTATTCTAAAAGATTGTTTCAGATTTTTATGTCAAAGATAACCTGAGTAAATAGAAACAAAAGCTATTTGTTGTTTTGTTTTGTTACTTATTAAGTAGAAAAATGCTGCCCAAATCCTCCAGAATCTATAGTTCGCCAAACCAGAACCAAGTTTGGCCCAAAAAGTAACTTTGATATAAAGAAACCGATAAAATTTTTTACATCTTTTAGGGTTACGGAGTCATTTCTGAGCCACAGTTGGAGCCAACTGGAGAAAACATGAAGCAGTGGTTGGAAATAAACCCAAATTACTGCAAGATTACATCGGCTCATTCAGGAGACCGCAACAGAACAACATCTGAAGAACTGAAGGCCTTACATGGCTCAGTTAAGGTCAGAGTTCAACAAAGACAGAAAACATGGCGTATTTGTTGGAGCACCAAGACTAAAAGTAATACTGGTGAAAACGAAGCAACGTTCGTCTCATGTTTCCCAAACGAGAAGAAAAGAGTGGGACATTTTGTAAGGTTTCTGTCCCGACAGCATTTTTTTAGATCGATATTCTCAGACCTGCAGCTAAACAGGATGATAGCAGTGTGATATGGGAGTACATTACTGCCATTACTGATGGAGCATTGAATTATGTTCAGTTTGTAAAGAGTTATCTTTTTGATCTCAAACTCAGGTGCACTTGGGTTGAAAGAGTAAAGCAGCATGAAGGGTTTGCAGTGGTCTAGTCAAAGTCCGGACTGAAGTTTGATGGAGATGCATTCATTAACAGCGAATGGAAACACTTGATGTTAGTCGTTTCTGCTAAGGCTCACACCAGTTGTTAGATGAGGGGTGTAATTAAGTTTTCACAGCGGAACAGGTTGGTCCGGTTCACTGTTTCACTTTAATATATGATTTATTTATAAACACTTTCCTTGTCTTGTGTGTTTTATGCTTTTCATTTGCAACCTTTCAGTTTGACCAAACGGCAAAAACCTGGAGAAAATATGTAAGGGAGCCGATCCTTTCATCTGGATACTTTTTCAACCCAATTATGACAGAAATTAACCTTTTGATTCCAATTCATTGACCTGGACATGTAACTGTAGCTGCAGAGATGATAAAACCAGCCCAAAAAAAAAAAAAGTGTCACCATCACCGAGGGGGTAAAAACCACCCAGAGAGCACCACGCTGCCCTTCCTGGGTCAAAGGTGGAATGTAATGCAATAGGGGAGGTGTTCCCGGCTCCGGCGCAGGCCTGGCAGATGTGCCATATGCTTGCATCCCACCTTGAGTCATCCAGGTGGTCTCTCCTGGTGCTACAGCGGGGCCTCATGCTGGAAGATGCCGCCTGCGATCTCTAATTGCTGCGACCATCTGCTCTTTTTGTCATGCCTGCCTGTTCGGCTCACAGAGAAGCGGGAGAAGATGAGAAAAGCACAAACAAAAAGCAGAAAACTCTGATCTGATCGAACCGAGCCGCAGTGTCCCCCCGTCTCCCACCTTCTGCTCCACCTCTCTTTACCTCGCCGCCGCGCTGTTCTCTCCGCCCGCCTGCGTCGCTCCCTCTGCGCGGCTCCCGGGGAGGAGGCTTGGAGTTGGCAGTCGTAACTAGACTGATGGATGACTCTGAAAGTGGAATAGAGACGGGAGGTGGAGGTTTGGGGGGCTGGCGCACCAAGTTCCCTGCAATCACTTTATGGACATGTGCTACAGTAAATCCACACAAACGTCCACTTGCCCACCAAAGCTCCTTCACACACCACGTCTGCATGCAGAAACTCTCGATTTGTTGATGCGAAACATCGGATATTGTTTGGCTGACAATTTGAACAATTTGCGATGCTGCGCAGGTTTCAGACGCCTAATCTTTTGGTAAACTTGATGATTTGGTTCTCTTTGCTTTTACCGGATTTACGACGGAGCCCTTCCTGTAATTGTCTGAGTGCAGCTTCTCAACTCATTCACATTGCTGCTTTTATTTGATTTATTTATATGGAAAAAAAAGAAATAAAAAAATTTGATAATTTAAATAAATCACGAGTAGAAAAAGCTCAAAAATCATGTATAATAATTAATTGCAGGAGCGAAACGTCACTCTGAAGCAGTTTATTAATTCCTATGAAGTAAAGTCCAGGATTTTTTACTTCTTTTGTATTTTTAAGTTATTCAAGGAACAGCAAATTAGTAATAAATTCCTGGGATTCGACAGTTGTTTGGTTGAGCTCAACATGATTCATTTTAAATGCATACTCTATTGGTTGACACATTTGAAATGTCCAGGGATAAAAACGATGGTCAAAAGTCACATTTTACAGTGTAAAACCTCCGGATTTGAATGCGTTTCGAGTGAAAAATGCCCAACTCAAATGCCTTCTTTAATTATTTTGAAGCCTCATATGGTTTAAGGCTCCAATTTGTAGATTAGTCATTTGTCTTTAAGGCTAATTATACTAAAAATAGAGGATTTTTTTTTGCTTCTTAATGTATGGTCCTCCTCCCCTCCCCACTTTGTCATTGTTGAGCTCCAGCCAAGAACATTCTGTTTTTGCAGTGCTGTTTAATAGTTAAATTTAGGAGCAGGGGAACAAGACAGAGCGGGAAAGCGACACGAAGAGAGAACAAGAAAGGAATAAATCTTTTTAGATTCCCCCTCCCCCACCAACCCGCTCTCCTTTCCCCTCCATCCTCTCTCTCTCTCTCTCTCTCTTTTCTTTATTTTTATTTTTCCTCCCTGTAACACAGCTCATAGGATCCGCGACAGGAAAACAGCTGTTTTTGCAAAGGCGAGGGTATCTGAGTTCACCGTCTCTCCGTCTCGCTCTCTCTCATATTAGATCCGTCACATGTTGAAGGTGTAGATGATAATCTCCCTTCTGGTTCTCATTCTGTCTCGGGGGCCATGTGTGGGCCCCGGCCAGTTTGAATCATCGCCGCCGCCATTAACCGCCTGGCACGGCTCCGACCCGAGTTCAGGGCCCCTCTGGGGCTGAGTCACCGTCGCCGTGCGTGCCGATTTATGCCACTGATTCTGAACTTTTACAACTTTTGTGCCGCGTGGCTTAAAAAGCAGAAAGATCCTGGTGCTTGTCCGAAATTGACCGGGAACTGCAGAGGAATCGCACGTTTCCCTGCTTCCCACTGAAGGACGTCAGACGCAGCGAATCCTGTAGCCGGTGGAAAGAATTCAACTCATGTTTCCTTGTGTTTCCCCTCCCCTCCCTGTCCTCTCTCGCCTTTTGTTTTTGTTTTGTTGTGTTTTCCTTCTCACGTTCTCTGCTTGTACCTTGCACAGCGGGGCCGAACACATTGTGAATCCCCTCAAGCCCCTCAGACACTCCTCCAGTGTCGGATGCAGGCGTCCAGGCCCGTCCTGCGTCCGACGCCGAGCTCCCGCCTCAGTTTGCTCTCCCATTAATGATAAAACTGTTCAAACAACGCTGACTTGTCTGACTCTGCTGCGGCTGCGCTCCTCTTGATAAGGAAAAACCTTCGCTTCTCACCTTGAGCTCGTTCAAAGTGAGAAGATCGGCGGAGGTTTCACCACAGCCGCAGGTTTTCATCTGAAAAAGTGGGAGAAAAAGCACACACGCTTACCAATCTGAAAAGTGTGGTGTGTAATTGTATTTAGCATCTTTTACTCTGACACCTTTTGTTTCAGAAGTAACCTACCTTGTATGTCAGCATATCATTTTATCACCACCGATTATTCTGCCTGTTCTGACTCACACGTAGTTTTGTGTGAAGAAAACATTAGATTTTTGTGGACCTCCTACATGAGTCTTCCTGTGACTTTTTTCGCTGCAAAAATAAGTATTTTTGGCTTGTTCCCAGTGCAAAACATGTCTTAGTGCACTTGAAATGAGGCAAAACTAACACAGAAGTAACAGAAGCTTGTTTACGTCACAAACATACTCAGTAAAAGTCCTTGCTTCACTGGCAGATTATTTCACTTATACCAGCATATGAAATAATCTCAAGTGGAAATTGCACTTTTTCATCAATATTAAGGAAATATTGACTTACAACAAGCTATTATATCTTGCTGAACAGTTACTCTTAAGTTAGTTTTGTCTCATTTCAAGTGTACTAAGAAATTAGACCAAAAACACTTCGGAGGGTTTTGTGTTTTTTCAGTGTTGATGATGGGATTTGAACCCTGACCTTCTTTCTGCAAGGCAACAGGGCTGCCAGATTCTCTCACCTGAGCTGTTTATCTCTGCAGCTCCTCCAGAGTCGCCACGGTCCTCTCAAGCTGCTTCTCTGACTCAAAATTATGGTTCTAATGTGACAAAATGCAATTACTGAGGGTTTTTTTTTAGGACACAAACCTCAACATTAGAGGAAAGTTTTTTTTTGTCTTTCTCACCACTAACTCCCCGCCCTCCTCTCTCTGTGTGTCCGCAGACTCGCAGCAGTCAGGAAGTCCGAGCAACAATGAGCCAGGCAAAACCCCTCTGCCAGGTATGTAGAGCGCCGCTCGTCCTCCCGGCCTTCTGTCATCGCCGCATTGTTCCTCTGCGGGGCGCAGCCGCTTTCTGAGTCCTGCTTGGGAACGCCGTGACTGGCAGGCGGGAACAGCGCAGCAGCGCCTCTCGGGGCTGCAGCCCTGCGTGCAGAGGCATGAGCCGCTGTCAGGTCTGCAGGAACACATCGGTGTGCGGCCGAGGTTTTTGTGTCGACACGCTCGTCGTTGCGCTCGGCAAATTGACGGATTAAATCATGTAAATCACGACAATCCTGAATCGAAAACTTAAGCCCCGCTGTCATCGTCGAACCAAAAGCGTCAAATGCGGTTTTCGGAAAACAGACGGTGACATTTGAAAGTGTTACAAAAGACTGTTGACGTTGCGCATTCTGCTCCTTCTCCCCTGGCCTGACCTGTGCCGTGTCGTCACGCCGTTGGAATGCAAATACTTTCAGAAGTATAATTAGTTTTCTACCTCAAGAGCAGGTTCTGCCGATGCCGGTGCCAAGGAAAACACGCAAGTCGAGCCAGTGACTCAGGCCCGGGAGGCCCTCGGCGGGTGGCACAGTTCCTTGCGAAAGAAGGAAAAAAGAAACAAAAGTTGGCTCATGAAAGGCGTTAAGCGTCGTACGTGCCAGTGGAGATATTCCTCCCATCTTTCTGGCCGGGTCTGAGCGCCGTAGGCCCGCGAATCGTAGCAGAGATCGCCTCGGTCGTCAGGGGCCAAATTCCCCGTTTTTTCCTTGACCGATGAGACTCTGGTTACTGTCGCTGCGTCCCTGCAGGTCAAACAGGTGCTGCGAATGCATCCACCATGCAGAAATACATGTATATATTTATCAGAGCTCAGAGACGTTTTCTAAAAACAGGAGTGGAAAAAAACTGAGGATTTGTCACAGCAAGCTTGATTTATATGTGGCAAGTCACATCAGGTAAAATAAAACGAGTTCACATGATCGTCTCTGTTAGAGCTGATGTTCCCATGTATGATTTGAATATCCGTTGACAGATTTCCTACTTTATCTTTGTGTCTATCTAAATCCGGAGCTGTTTTTACTGAGTCGATGCTGGTCTGTGCTCAAATAGAGGCAGTTTCAGCTTTTACTGTCGACTTCTAAACAAAAATGAACGAGTCGGAGGAGATTTTGTTTCGATTGGTGAAAGACGCTTAAAATATCTGTAACTTTGTCCAAATCATGTCTTGCCAAATGCATACAAAAACAGAATAAAAGCATTCTTATTCTCCAATTTGACTTTGCCGTATTGCCGACACAAGTTGATAGAAACTTCTGAACGTTAAGTTGATGGAAACTGCAAAATTCAAAATGTTTTCCTTAGTGTTGCAAAAAAAAAAAAATCTTTACACTCACTTCAGGTTTTCAACTCAAGGCTTTTGTGGTTCGTCTGAAACAACTTTGCATATCTTGGGACTAAAAATGTTGCTCTTTGTCTTAGAAGTTAAGCTCAGATTAGATGAAGGGCATCTGTGACCGTCTTGCCACAAAACTGTCACTTTAACATTGGGTTTGAGCTTTGATTAGGCCATTTCGAGGCATGAATTTAGTTCAAACTGAAATGGTGTGTTCAGTGTGCTCTTCAGTGCTGAAGTTGTTTCGCGTTTGTTACGTAACAGAACCTCAGATGACATTTTCCAACAATGACTCGTTCTCTAAACCCTGACACAACACCTGCAATTACACTGGGATTAAATCAAACGCAGGTGAACTCTGCTTACTAATTATGCAGCTTCTGAACGCATTGTAGCGCAAATGCATGTGGCACTCTTCAGGCTTCGAGTTGTAAAAACTGAAAACCCATTTCGGCGCTACTATGTGTTGCTTTGTCATAAAATGTGCGAAAGTTGAAGAGGCGTGAACACGTCTCAGAAAGAGATCCTCATGCACATGTGCTTTATTTTTATTTCTAAGTGGTTTCACTAATAACGGGCGTGCTTGTTGCCTTTCTTTCTGCAGTGTATTTGGAAGACAGCTTCATCAAATCAGGAGTTTTCAGTGTCGCGGAGCTGGTGCGAGTGTCTAGAAGTAAGTACACGCTTCCTTATTTGTTTCTGCTTGTTTGCTGTCGCTTCGGCACCCTGCCTACCTGCAGCCCGTCTGAGCTGCTCTTTTGTTGTTGTGCGGAGTCTCACTGACACAGTTGGACCGCCTTAACGTCTGCAGACGGCGTAACAGGTGCATCGGAGTTGATGTAAGAATCAGGAAGCTGTCAGCTTGCATAAACTCTCGCAGTCATTAATCAAGTGTAATCAGGAAGATAAACACACCTGCGTGTTTGTGTAGAAACTTGTGGGTTTGGTGGAGTTTTTTTTTGCCATAAAAACAGTAAGAGCTGACCCAGAAAAGCCCTCGCCTTCGACCCCCACACACAGAAACTCCCCCCCCCCCCCTCCAAAAAAACCCGGTTTTTCTTTGCAATCTCTGAGCTGAAATCCCAGCACACAGCTGTGCTGCCGAGAATCCAGTTTGCCGAGTCTCCTTTGCTTTAGGATAACTCTTGAGTGCGCAGCTGTCTTCAGAGCTTCATCTGCATGGACATGTCTCCCCTCCTCCTCCTCCTCTTCCTCCTCTGCAGAGCCGTTGACGGTTGTTCTCCAAAGACTGCCCTGACAGCCAGGGGCACGTCAAGGCACAGTTTACCTGTGCAGACTCTGAGCTGAGGCAGCAACTGTAGCGAACTTGCCTGCGGAGCACAAAGACTCCAGTCACCCCTCCTCCTCCTCCTCCTCCTCTTCCTCTCTAACCTGTGTTTAAGAGAAACAGACCGATGCTGTGTGGCCGGTGTGTTGCAGCATGCAGCAGTCGGTCGGCTCCAGGGGTTCATTCTGTAGTCGGGACAATCAGGGGCTGCGGCCGGGGTCAGATTTTACGACGGGGTTACGAAATCACTTCCACGATAAAGTTAAAGCCACAGATGCTCCATTTGCTATTCTGCTTTTGTAGAGTAAACGTAACAGAAGCAGTTTTGTATTTTAAGCTTTGCGGTTTTAGATTAAAGCTGCCGTGTGTAACTCTTATTAAAAAAATTTTTTGTTGAAACTGTCATTGAGTCATGACGGTAAAAGATAATCTGTGAAAAATCCTACTTAGAAACCAGAGTCAGAGACAGAAAGAGGGTCTTAGCGCTGTCAATCACTCCTCGTGTGGTGCTGCTCATCCCCTCTTTCTCTCTGCTAGCTGCAGTTTAGAAATGAATGCTCAGGATAGTTAGCATAGCCACTGATGACGGCAGATAAACGGTTTTCCTGTAACGGTAAATTGTTTCTCCAGCATTACCGCATATACCAGTGAGTACATGAGGGTGATTGACAGCGCTGAGTCCCTCCTCCTGGCTCTGACCGGTTGTTTTTGGTTGGGAGCATTGCATTTCTTCAGACAGCAGTAAAATCTCAGGGAGGAAGTGGATTTGTTCAAACAAATCTCAGACTTTTGTCAGTTTGATAGCAGTTCTCAGTTTTAGTCACCAAAAATAATCATTTGATTTCCAGAAACATTCATATCAGACTTTATTGAAATCTAGAAAGTCAATGCGTCCAATTTGCTGCCTATCGAAATGAGTTCTTTACATTTGCATGCAGAAGAGTTGGGCTAACGTTACAGAAGAGGAAGCGTCTGACCTTTTTGTTTCCCATCTCAAACCATAAATACTTCAAAAGCTTGAGCCACATTGTCTCATTTTGTGCTCCAAAAGGCACTGACTACTCCTTCCAGTGCTCAGACACAGAATATCCCTCGGAAGGCTGTGTTTTTGTGTAGTGTTTAATTTGCCCTCTGACCAGATGGCCTCTGAGCCGCCACATTTGCTCTCATGTGACAGAGGCCGGCTTCAGCAAAGCCGAGCTGGAATTTTAAAAAGGTCGCCGGACACACAGGAATTGTCACTCACTCAGCCGGTCGCTCCCTGGGAAGATATCTAAGCAGCCGCTCGTCCGTCATCGCGCTCCTCTCCCGACTCTCTGAGCTGTCGAGACATTCTTTGAAGTCCATCAAAGGGAGCTCCGGAGTTCAAGGCTGAATCGCAACCCGGCGTTTCAACTCATTAACGCAACACCAGCCTCAAGTTCAAGTGTAAAAAATGCTTTAAAAAAAAAAAAAAACGTGGACGTACCCAGGCAAAGGAAGCATATAAATAATTATGTGTGTGTTTTTTTTCCCTTCCTTTTACTGAATTAAAGCCAAAATTATTGAATAATTGATCGACAGGGTGGCAGACTAGCTCTGCAAAACCCGCGCCGCGCCAAGAGGGACGGCCAGCGGGTTGTGGGGCCGTCCTAACCAGCGAATCGAGAAACGAAACAACAAAAACAATGATCTGGTATTCAGTGTCCTCGGGCCGGACGCATTCCTCCACAAACAGCCCGGCGTGGGTAGCAGCGGGCAGGGGCCGCTGCCAACGCTGCCAGTGGGCTGCCAGGGCGGAGGCTGGCGGATCGGATCGTGCCAGTGGTGAACCTCAGACCACAACAGACGGCGCCACACACTCCATCTTCTCATCCACTCCAAACCGACCGAGCGCTCGAGTGGCAGGCGGCCTGACGGGCCACACACTGGTGCGAGGATGGGTGGCGAACCCCTTTTGTTCTGTAAACACAGGCACGGCCTCCCCTGAAACAATATCCTTCACCTCAACCGCAGCGGGGAAAATATCACCTTTTCCACCGTAAATCATTATCAGAGGAAACGGAAGAGAGTTTTACTGCTGGGTCTTTCTCTGCACAGTGTTTTTGGGGGGGATTTCTAATGTACTCAGCATGAAAAGATTTCACCATATAGAGTTTTACGATAATCCGTCTAAGTTCTTTATGCCTTAAATCCAAGGAACCAGACCTGCTGGCAGTTTTTCAAATCGATCTTGACGCTGCAAAAACACAAAATCCCACCAAAACGTTTTGCTAAAATATTTTAGCACGCTTGAAATAAGACTTTACTGACTTATAAATGCGTTTTCAGCAAGATATAGGAGCTTATTTTAAGTGAGGAAATGCTTAATATTGATGAAAATGTACTGGTTCCACTCAAATATTATTTCACTTATTAAATATTATTTCCAATGTTATAAATCCACAAGTGAAACTAGTATTTGATAATCATTATTAAGGATTTACTGACTTAAAACAAGATCAAGTATGGAAAAAAATATTATTTGTATGTTTTTTTTTAGTCTTATTTCAACTGTACTAAGATATTTGCACCAGAAACTAGATCAAAACGTCTTGGTATAATTTTTCATATTGTGAAAGTAACGTTTTGTTGAATATAATAGAAGAAGAAAGCATAGACTGGACTTCAGTTGATCCTCTCCTGAAACATCTTGTTGGTGATAAGATACTATAATTGACTTTAAAACAGAGTTATGTTTTGTATTTATCATAGATTCAGTTAAATAAATGGGAATAAATCTTATTTTTGTGCCAGGATGTTGGTAGCAAAAGGCGTTAAGGATGAACCGGCTTAAACTATTAAATAAAACACATCACTGTGGATAATAGACAGAAAATGAATGAGACAGAAAATGAATGAAACAGAATCTAGAGAAATACTTAAAAATACATAGAAAACCTGCAGAATTCTTCAGGATCAGGAAAACCTTAAGAAACTTAAGATCATTCTGGACAAAAACGAACAAATGAGCAATAACTGAAGCACTTAAAGTTTCCTGAGCATCTTCTCCACATGCAGGGGCTTTAGCAGCACTCAGTAAATACCAAACACCTTGGACTAAAAAAACAGACACTCCACCAATCATGGTCTGTGTAATAAATCACCTGCTTCTAGATGCAAGCATGGAGATGCATCTCTCAACCAGATAGCAGAGTAACCTTGAGCTATTTTGTTTTTTTGTGTGTGTGTGTGTGTCCTCTTCAGTGCCAATCACCCACGGCGCAGCGGTACCCTTCACCATGGCGGACATGCCCAGCCAGCCCTACTATCATGACCTGAACTCCAGCGTGGCACTACAACGCTCCCTGTCCTCCCCGCCTGGCAGGTCAGTGGGACGCCAGCGAAGCACAATTATCAGACAAAGTTTCTTTTTCAAGCATCCTCTCTTGCTGCTCCATATAGTTGACTTTGCTTGCTGTCGTCTTAGGAATTGAAAACGTTCTCCATCGTAAAAAATAAAAAATAAAAAAAATATTTAAATTTATTTTAGTTTTTTTTGTCCTGTATTGTCCTAGTTTAGCCTCTTTGCTAAGTTTAATTTAGAGAAATTTATCTTGCATTAATTTTACTTTATATTAAATCACCCACATTTCTTTAAATTATATTCAATAAATTTGAATATTGCTCAAAGGTTTGTGTTTCAGTACCTCAATTCACTTTATACAGACGACTGTAATTTTATACCTGCTGTTTTTTAGTCTTCATTTCCAGGTTGTGATGATTTTCTGCTTGCAAGTAAGATTAGAAAATGATAACAGACTAATAAAATGTGGGCTTAATGAATGTATGTTTATTACCTCTGGAGCTTTAATCTGACAAATAAGCTTTTTATTTATTGTAAATTATTTCGGCTTAGTTTGGCTTTCGGTAGTTTTGAGTATTTGAGCTACATTTTTCTAATCTTATGTTTGCTCAATTTAAGTTATTTTCCCATAGATCAGTATATCTGAGCATAGATTAACTGATTTGCAACAAGTTGATTTGTTGTAAATTAACTTAGCTTTGCAGACCTTTTTATTTTTTCATTTTAAGTTAGCATCGCTCCTTTTTAGTGTAGTTTAGTTGAACCAGTTGAAATTCATTTAACTAAAATAACTTAAGTCTGATTTTATGTAATTACTGAGCTTCTATTATTTCAGTTTATTATAGATTATATTATTTTAAATTAGCACGTCTTACTATAGCTAACATAATTTGTCCTTTGTCAGCTTAACTTGTTTCACAACATGCAAATACATTGACATGGTTGTTGATTTTATAAAGGCAGAAAATAAATATTAGCACCTGTTTCAATTGATATGATTTGTGATGCATAAAACAAATGATTGCATCAAGTAATAAACCTGACTTTGCTCAGCAAAAGGCCCAAAACCAACATGGAGGAGAACATGGACACCAGCCCGACGGGACCCGACTTCTACTCGTCACCCAGCTCCCCAGCCAGCAGCCGGGCGAACTGGCACGACAGAGACGGAGGTGATTTTCACTTTTTATTTACTTCCAGCTGCTTCATCTGGTGGTCAAATGTCAGACTGCAACTTCACCACTTCCCAGTTGCTGCTGATGGCTTGCATTACGATCATTATGACCCTCAGCCGTCCAGCCGTCAGCCATTTTAGCAACGCTTTCTGCCTCCTTCACCGTCTGAACAACTTGCAGAACTGGCACGTTGTCTGAGTCTTGTCTGTCAATCTGCGGCCTTTTGTTGTTCCTTCTGGAAACCCAAAAAGCTGCCAAACAAATGATTTAAGAATAATTGGGTCGTCTTATGTTACGACTTCATCAGGCGAAGCCTTCCTGACTCACGAGATGTGTGTTTCAAGATCTTATCACAGCCAAACTATTTTCATGGCATGCAAAAATATTAAAAATGACTCGGTGTGTGTTTTCCTTGGTAAATAAAGTCAGACAACCGCGTTCCAAGCTGCTCTGCATGAATCTTTCTACTGACTGTAACAAATCATCTTCAAGAACGTACTCAGTAGATGGTTCTAAATTTGAAAAGTAATGGCAATGACGGCAAAAAGTGAAGCAAATACTTTGTCAGAAAGCCCATCAACAGCTGTGCAAAAGTTTCAGACAATCTGAGTTCTTTGAATGCTATCTGTGTTACGCAGAACCGGATCCCTCATGAATTGTTGAATAAAGGCAGGATGGATTCCTGTTTCCATTTCTTTTTCCCTAATATTTTCTTCTCACCATCTGAATGTTGCAGTTAAGAAAACAAAAACCCGGATCTGTTATTGTCCAGTTTTACTGATCCTGGGTGGATTGTGACATTAGCTGCTTTCAGCCGTCTATTGAAAAGTTTAATGTCTGTACTGTGGACGTAAGCAGTAATTATTTGTCCTTCTGCTCTGGAGCACAGAGGACTCTTTGCTGATTCGAAATTACTCGCAGAAAATTCGCTCATCATCAAATTTTTACATATAATATCCTAAATATTGAAAAGAAAGTTCAACTTGGGAAATAGTTGAAAAAACAATCCAGGATCGACGTTTGTTTTCCTCGCTGCTGATTGACTGAAGCGTCAGGAGCGGAGATAAGAAAATCTCTGGATGTTTGCGTTTGTAGATGTGCTAACATGTATTACTACTGCAAGTATTCATGCATTTTATAGTATAATTGGGGATTTAACTGTTAAAATAGGCAGTTGAGCATTTCTAGAAACTTTAGCTTATATTAACATGCCCACATTTTTTAAATTTATGTTCAATAAATTTGAATATTACTCAAAAGTTTGTGTCTCTTAGTGAAACACATTATATAGATTTCTCTAATGAAGATCTGTTCATCATTCCCACCCTTTATTCACTCCTGTCTACATCTTTTAGTCGTATTTTACCCGTAAGAGCAGGTAAGAGGCGTCTTGGTCCAACTGCGACACATGAAATCATTGGAAATAAAGCCCATATTTTCTTTCCTCTCCCTGCACAGTGGTTTTTAGCTCCGGTTTGAACCCAGACCACCTCCTTTTTTTAATTCAATATAATCAGTGGGGAGGCTGCGAGAGGAAAACACCAGATGACACACAGGAGACGCAGCAGTGGTGGGATTCAGCCGCAGCCGCAATGTGGGTACACGAAATTCTAGCGTGTCCCTCTGCACAAGGCCCGAGAGCATTGCACTGCGTAAACTTAGACACTTGGGGTGAGGAGGAAGGGAATGAAGTGGGTAGGAAACTCTCCAAAGACAGCCATTACTCTGTCAAGAGAGAATAAATGAGAAGTGGGCCGATATTAAACCCATATGAGTCCTCCGAAGTGCCAAGGATTTCATTTCTTTCACGTGGTTGTCGTTCAGGCTCTCTGGTAGTGCTCTGGTCTGGGAAAGCACTGAAACGTCGGGGTTTATTACACACCAGCACACATTTACTCAGCCAGTACAAAACAAATCAGTCCTTTAAACATGACTAATAAAGTTTCAAGGCAACGGCGCTTCTTTAACTATTCAAAGGATTAATTAATTGCTGTAATTTACTGCATCGCCTTTTTTCTCATCCTCGAACGTCTCCTCTAAGGTATTTCTCCTCTTCTTCGACTGGGACATAAAATGTATCTCCTCTCCAAAATCAGGCTGGGAAATCCCCTTCAATTCCCGCCACCTCTCCTCCTTGGAGATAACAAAGTTTTCCTGTTGCTTGTCCGGGACTAGAGGCTTTCCCCGCCTCTAGTCAATTCAGGGAAGGAAGTTTAATGGATTTAAATGAGAAATAACTTAAATCCCCTTCCACAAAAAAACCCCATCGTTTTCTGCAAGAAAAGAGGGAGATGATGTGAAAGTTACACGAGTGTTCGTCGTGGAAAAGGCAGAAGAAGACACAGGCCTCTGCCTCTCGCATCCATTTGTCATCACGTTCCCTTCAGACTCCACGTCTCAGCATGGAAAATTGAAAACCGCGCAGCCGTGACAGCAGAGCGTCGCTCGTAAAACCGAGGAGCCGCAATAATGAACAGCTAGCGTGTTGTTTTGTTTGTTTGTTTGTTTGTTTTGTGCACACACGTTCTGTCGCTAGCAGCAAACGAACTTCCTGGATAATTTCTCAGGGAATCACAGAGAGTGTTGCTCTCTGCTGAAGATTAAGTGAAGGTCTTAAAAGTTTTAAATCCTATGTGGGTCACTTTAATCATCTCACTCTGACATGATAAAAGACTTGGTTTTTTAAGTTATTGAGGAGTTGAGGAGTTCTGGTGATTTATTATGATTCCAGAAATTGTATGGGATTTCCCCTCAGGGAGGAGATTATTTTCCAAATGCATTTTTCATTGTGTTCTGCGTTTCCTTTTTATTACATGAAGCCCTCAGGATCAAATTCAACCTCGTTTTAAACATTTTTTCATTAAATGAGGCATTAGGATAAACCTTTCAGGAATTACCTGATTAATTTGCAGCAATAATCCGAAATCTTGTGCATCGTGTTGTGGTAATCGTGTCCCTTTGTCTCTGTTGGTGCATTTGGAAGCAAAACGCCACGACTGGATTTGCATTGATCAGGGTTTTTCTGGCCGATGCCAATTATCGGGTCTCAAATGGCAAATTTCATTCTGAAGCACTTTAAAAAAAACAATGAAAATTGACCCCAGGAACTTCATGATGCAGCCGAAAAAGCAAGATCTGATCAGCCACCTTTAATGTTGATTTTTGTCCGATACATTAGAAAGTGCTGTAGGCTTCATGATAAAGTCAAAAGGTTTGAATTCAAGAAAAATACTGAGAGCTCTTTGTTATTCTGCCAATCACCAATCAGGGCCGATCAGGAAAAAATTGGTCCGGCTTTTCTTAAAAGACTCGTCATATTAAAAATGGTATTTATTTAATCAAAGTGAGGTTTGAAGGATTAGAAAATTTGAAAACATACAACAGATATATGTAGATTGACATGCTAAATCTAGAAATTGGAACTGAAATAAAAATATCCAGCTGTTTCTTACACATCTAGCAGAAAATAAAACCCTTTAATTTTATTATACTCAAAAAACATACAAGCTGTACAACCTCTGCATCTCCTATAACTATCAAGAGGAGTCGGACACGGTTTCAGTGACATGCATGGTTTCGTTTTGCTTTCCTCTGCCAGCAGAGATGTCCTCTCCCACTATGAAGAAGCCAGAAAAGCCGCTGTTCAGTCCCACCTCCCCGCAGGACTCCTCACCGCGACTCAGCACTTTCTCTCAGTCTCACCACCCGGGCCTATCAGGTGTGGGACACAGTGGTGAGTCACAGCGCACTTTTTCTTCATGAGGTAAACATAAATAAATAAATCCGCGCAAACCTAAGCTTGCGGTCATTATAGAAAGTACTCCCTCCTCGCTCTTGGATCTCAACCAGGTTGTAACGTCACTTCAAGCTCAAGTGTATCAACAGTTTTTTTAGTGCTGTCGTTATTTAAATAACCAGGCTGGGATTGAAAAACTGCGAGTGGGAGGAAAGAGTACCTCTGGATTTACGAGCTAATCGAAACGCTTCGCTATTGATCTTCTGTAAGTTTGACCTCCTCCATAAAATTAGGAGTTTTGGCTTTTCGCTGGTCCAGAGCAGAAAAGACTGCTCTGCAGTTACTTCAGAGAAGCAAATTCACATCTCCAGTCAATGACGGCTTGGACGGATACTTCCAAACAATTTGAAATCCGCCCTTGTAAAGAGAGAAAAAAAATAACTTTTCAGAAGTGGAAAGCATTTAGGAGAGCTGTCAATCTTTTCCAGAATGGAGCAAAAGCTACATTTTACACTATTAGCCTCAGTTAGCAGGTTAAATGCCAAAGTTCGTGTCAAAATAAATTGGAAATGAAACCCAACAGATGCAACTTGTTTGGAAATGTTGGCAGGAGAAAGAGAAAAAGATGACAGGACAGAAGTTGCATTGAAATGACTAACAGCCCATCTGCAAGTCTAGAATGATATATTATTATGGAGAAACTCTATGCGTCCACCATGACTGTGCACCAATGTCTGCAGCAGAATGGCTCAAAAAGAAAAGGATGACAGTCCAGACAAAGTCCAGATGAAAATACTAAAGAGAGTGAGACATCAATGAACTGAAAGACTGTTGTTAAGAATAGATCTGACTTCAACGTCAACTCATTGGTCTTAAATGTGGCTCCAAAAGCTGTTAACCCGCTGAGTGAACACTAGGCTTTAAAGAGAGCCTCGTTTTATCTGAACCCTCTCCTCTCTCTCCGTCTTCCCTGTCTGTGTGCTTTTCCCCACAGTTATATCATCGAGGAGCCCCCCTTCACACTCGCCCCTGCAGTTCTCCGCCTCGGCCATCCTGCCTCCGGCGCCGTCGTCCTACTTCTCGCACCCCACCATACGCTACCCGCCTCACCTCAACCCCGCCGATCCCCTCAAGAGCTACGTGCCGTCGTACGACCCGTCCAGCCCACAGAGCAGCCAGGTCGGTCTCTTTCTGTGTGTCTGCAGGTTTAAAGTATTAGTATGGGCTTACTCACCGAGCCTCCAGCCTTTGTTCTTTATCTTGTTGGGCTCTGACCTCGAGAGATTAAAGATAAGATAAATTACGGCTCGCAGTATTTCACTAATGCCTTCAAGGTGCGCTTGGAAGTTGGGAATATGTTCTTGTTTTGCTTAAATTTCCGAAATTAAAAGACATTCCTGTTAGTTATTGCAAAAGTATTCGCACCCCTTGAACGTTTTCAGGTGGTGTCCCTTTACAACACACGTGTCAAACTCAAATCAAAGTAGTTTTTATCTGTTTACCGCCAAATTACGTCAATCAGTCGCCCCACTTTCTTAGGAATTATCATGGAAATTCACGCAAAATCAATAAATCCCTGCACTTTTTTGTGCTAATGCATCATTTCTGGCAAAAATGGTGAAAAGTATTGGATTTAAGTGACTGTTTACTCCAGCTCATAGGGGGATGTGTTTATTACTTCTACTAAACATCTGCCTGAGCCTTACTTGAGTTATAATCCATAACCATGTGGCGAACAATAAAAAAGTCGCATTCGCCATCATACATAAGTGCAAATATTTCTGAATTAGTCCCACAAACACTTTGATTTTCACTGCAAAAAATGATTTTATGTGATTTAAAAATACAACCATTCTCATTTAACTGCAATAATTGCCAAGTGAATGAAAACAGAAATCTGAAATGTGCGGCATGCACGTGTGTTTTGCACGATGCTTTTGGAAGATGGATGCAGTAAATTGTTGTTGCTGTTTTATCTGATAAAGATGTACGATAATGCAAAACTCTCAGGTTTGAAGAATTCGGATAAAATAATTAAAAGATTTAAAAAAAATTCTCAATGCCGTTATTACTTCACTCTACAAAGTATGATGACAAGAGAAGGCAGGTTTGAGTTAAGCCAATCGAGTCTAAGATACCATTAAAGGCCACATTTAGGCAGTGTCTTTATGACACTTGTTTTAAATTGTTACTGAATTGAACTGAATTAAACACAAAATGTTAAATATTCAGTGGGATCTACCTGCGGTAGAATGGACTAGTCAAAGTCCAGAGCTGCACCTAATTAAGAATCTGCGGCACAACTTGAAAACTGACGTTCAGAGATGATCTCCATCCAATCTGCCTGAACTTCGCGAGCAGAAGTTTATTTTCTGGATGTGAAAACCGTCCAGAACCTTAAAGCCGCAGCGGCAACAAAAGGTGGCTCTTCAAGCATCAGCACATTTTCGGAAAACAAAAAGTGTGAAGTGATGTATGGTTTTCCTTCCACTTCCCAACGACGCTCTTTGTGTTTGTCTGTCACATAAAAATCCAAATAAAACGCGGCAAAGTTCTTGAAACGCGGCAGAATGTGAGTGAGATCAAGGGTTTCAAATGCTGCTGAAAGTCACTGTCACTGAGTATAATTGGTTAAAGACACTCTCATAAATCCCCACTGCACAGACTATTAATCTGCTGTAATTTACACCGAGTTATGATAATAACTAAGACGATTATAAACCCTTGAATGTTTTTGTCCATATATTTTCAACATGACATAACACTCGGGGCAAAAGGTTATAATACACTTGGAGCCTTATGTTTGCAGTTAATTTAAAGGGAAACAACAACCGCATGACTCCATAAAAATTTTTAAAAAATCAGCCAAACTCTTGCGACTGCAGTCACATGTGTGACACGCAAATCCCCATCAGGACTCGGCTGTAAATCAGACGGCTTTCTGCGCTTTTGTGCGTTTCGGCGAACACAGTGCGGGCCAATGTGCGCCGCGAGCGAGCGAGCAAGAGAGAGAGAGAGCGAGCCCGGCGTCTCTATAGACGAGAAAAGCCGTGTGATATTTATGTGAGTTTTATTTCCCGGCTGTTCTCACTGTAAACAAAAGCCTCGTAGACGGCTCCATCTCCAGAACGGCGGGGCCGGAGGTGGGGGTGTTGCTCCAGAGAGGGGGAAAAAAAAAAAAAAAACCCACGGGGAATGATAAAGGTTGTAAATATTTGCCGTTGCCGGGGCCGTGCTCTTGTGCAGAATTAACTGGCCCTCTGCTGGGGTTCTGGAGAAAGCAGAGCTGGAAGACCAGTGGGGGGGATGCAGGAGGTGGAGGGGGGTTCTGCAAATAACACAGCGCTTATAATCCCATGGACGAGTGCCAGAATGTTTTATGCTTGCTTTAACGCAGATTATATTACACTCTAATTAAACATTCTATTCACGACGAAGGGAACCCTGCGGATTCGATTCTTCTCCGAAAAGGCCTGGTTGAGTTTTGAACTCGGGTCGGCCCCGGAGTGAACGGCCCAGACAGTCTCCAACCGTCTCAAAGAGCAGCTCCCACTTGCTTCCTTTATGCAACGCTCCCCCACCCCTCTTATATATAGTCCCTCCATAGCGGCGCATTCAGACCATTGTAGCGGGTCTAGCCGCAGTCCTCTCTGGCTTTTCACGCCCCTCGTCCTCCTAAAGTCCATTTAATCATTGTGAGGAATGATGTAGGAAATCCATTGTCGCTTACAGCCCCCCACTCCTTCAGCTCTTTCTGGGTATTAGTAATAACTGTGACAAGACAGCAAATGAAAGGGCTGAAATCTTGAAGCGAAAGTGTTTCAGCTGCTTTTAGTTGGGCATTTTAATTCTGTCGGGTCGCTTAAATAACCCGGGCGAGCCGTTTTGTTAAAATGCAGTGGCATGCTCGTCTTATTTTATTGAGATTGGGCCAAGAGCGCGTTTACAAGCAGAGCCTGGGCTTGTAACCATAAGTCACTGTGCAGAGGATGTCCTCTCGTAATGTTATGGGTTTTGTTAGGAGACAAAACGAGTGCAGTCCTGCCATGTTTATGGTGACGGTACGGCTTCTTGATGCTGAGGTCATAACCCGCTTCGCCGCGCATCATCAGCTAAACGAACGCAGAGCAAGTTATGGAGCTGTGAAGACGTTGTTTGGTTTCGCTTTTGTTTGTTTTTTTCATCGCACTTAAACGTTTTATACCATCAGACTCATTTTTTACATCGGGTATGTTAGACCTGAGGAAATACAAACTGCATGTTGTAACCGGTTGTGCCACTCTTGCCATTAAGTGTTTACAATAACTGGTGGTGAGTTTTTCACATTCCTGCGGAGGAATGTTGGCCCAATCTTCTTTCCACAACTGTTTTAGCTCAGGCGTACCGGAAGATTTTCACCCATGAGCAAAGCAGCATCTCAATCTGATTTTGGTTTAGAGAAGATCTAATGATTCGATCAAAAACCAGGCGAAGAAGCAAAGCATTTCTTGACAATCACACCACCACCGTGTTTTCCTGGTCTTTTTTTTTTTTTTTTAGGATGTTTTATTACAGATTGAACAAATTACACATTTTCCAAAAAAGTTCCACACTTGTCGCATCAGTTGACAGAATATTTTTTGCAGAAGTCTAGGAGATTTACTAACATGTTAATATGAAAGACATGCTTTTTGAGATCTCTATGCCTACTTCATCTTGTCAGGCAGGTTCTGTTTAAGTGTTTTAGATAATATTTCAGTGACAATTGTTTATTTAGCTGGTAAAATTTAACTCAGCAGTCCAAAATAAATGCTGATAGGTCTGGGAGCGACATCAACTTCAGCGATTAATCAAAGTTTTGGCTTGTGAAGATAAAATTTTGGGGGATTTTTTTCCACCAATGCTCTCCTTGGGATTCCATGTCCGTCTTGTTTGCAACATCAATTTATTTGGACTTTGACTCCAGGCCAGCTCTATGACACAGTACTAGTTTTGTTTAATTGCCAGAATAAAGTGGTAGTTTTATGAGAACGCTGGCAAAACATTTTAAAACAATTAAAATGAGGAATGTTAAGGAAATACTTAATGCATATCAGCATCAAATTATGAAATAATAGAGCAACGGCTGAGTCAGTTTCAAAGAAAGAACGGCTTTTTTCCTCATAATTTTAAGACATTTTTCTGGTATAATTGCATCTTTACTTTGCTAATATTGTGACTATATTCTTGTAATTAAGCAAAAACATCTCATAACCGACTGTCATGCAACTCCCAGAAGGGATGATTGAAATATTTTCTGTAATTTGTCATAACATTTTTAGAAAAGAAAGCAAGACAAAAAAAAAGAAATCCATTATAAAGGAAAATTGAATTTGGTTTGATTACTTTTTCACACTGGTCCAAGTTGGTTTGCTTCTTTTAAAATGATCATTTAAATAATTGCTATTAAAGATCTGAACCCTCTCAGTGTGAAAATATAAAAAAAATATATATTTTTTTTATATTATATATAAAAAAATAAGTGTGACAAAAAACGGCTACATCTTCCTCATAAGTGATTTCTTTATCTCTTCCTCCATCTGTCTCTGCCTGACATGCAGCCTAACAGCAGTGGTCAGGGGGTTGGGAAGGTCCCGGGCCACTTCACCCCGGTGTTGGCTCCATCCCCGCACCACGGCCCGGTGCGACCCGTCACTCTTTCCATGCCCGACACCAAGCCCATCACCACATCGACAGAAGGTAGGCTGGCGCCACGTCCAGGCAGCGTCTGCTGCATGCAGCAGTTCCAGCTTATGATTTATGAATACACTGAAAAGATTTTGCCTTGAGTTTTTCATTTGAGGACCATCTACTGCAACATTCATGTATTTATGGGTCAATAGATCTGATAAGTCCTGATTTAATTTCTGACTGAAATAAAATTTAAAAAATCACATTATTGATGACTAAAAGCTTGTATTGATAACAGTGCTATTTAACTGGCATTAAATTGCTTTTACTTCCTATAATGCGACACTTTTAGATGGTAATATTTTGTTTTTAAATATTTTTATATGTAATGTTTTTTGTTCTTTTTATATATTTTTTATTTTTATACATTTATATATTACTATTATTATTATTAGAAATATGAATATTTACATTTTGTTTTAATACTTTATATTTACTATTTTATTTTCATATCTTTGTTCAGAAAAAAACAACTTTATTCCCCTTTTCTAAATGCAACAGTTGTTCATATGGCTCCAGTGATAACAAAGAATCAAAGTGGGCCAATGAATGAGCCTTGTTGGTCTCCTCTTGTTTTTCCTTTTTTTTTTTTGTGATGGTAGTTTTGCTAGTTGCTATTCTCTCTTAGCTCATTGTAACTATATCATCTCTAAAGACATTATTTACAACCTTTTAAAATGTATTTTTTTATAAAGTTGTGTTATTTTCTTGAAAATAAGTAAGTGGTCCGACAACTGAGCCCTGTGGGACTCCTGCCCTTTTTCTATGTAGTGCCTCCTGTTTATGCTGGCAGATTTGTAATGATGTCAAATTCACTCTTATTCAAAACTAACTGGACCAAAATTGCCTTCTTTTTTTTCATGTGATGACTCGTCGCTCAGGCTACTCCACTCCTGGCACCCCAACGTCTAATCGTTTTGTAGGCCTGAGCCCTAGAGATCCCGCCTTTCTCCACCAGCAACAGGTGAGCTGTTTTTCTCTGTTTCAGCATTAAGCTGTTGCTCTTAGTCTGATTATTTTCATCCCCCACTTCTGAAAAACAAATATATATATTAAAATAAAGAGCAGATTTGAACAAACTGGCAGAACAGCTTCTTTCACAGTTGATGTGCAATGAAGCTAAAAACAAACAAGCTCATTCCCTATCAAGCTATTTTTTTCCTTTCTTTTTTTTTTTGTAATTTTTAACACAGGTGTTAAGATTTATACTTAAAAACACTTTGTCAGTGAGAGAGTGTGGCTGCGATAGTTTAGAGAAAATCAAATCAAATCTTTTGCTCCATTTAGAGAGAGAGAGACACAAAGGTGGAGGGTCACTGTCTTCCTTGTCTCCTGTATTTCCTTCACACATTACTTTAGACACTTCCTTGTACAGCACACTCCTTTATTTGCAAGCTGATCATAAAAAAAGTGCCGTCGTGTTACCGTAGGATGTCCTCGGACAGAAGTGGCAGCCCTTTGTGTGTGCTTGTGTGTTAGATGCGCTGCAGTTTCGGGGCGTTTTCGGTCGAGAAAGAGAGGCTGCTCCCCTCCACCGTGTCTTATTGAAAGAGCTGGTCCGAGGCCAAGGCTTTTCCAACCACAACTAATTGAATGCATCTGCACACGGCTACATAATGATCGCCGGGTTTCTCCCCGGCTCGGTTCTTTATGTTTCGTAAAAATCACAAACCTGGCCTCTGTTTTCTCACTGTCTGTCTCTCTCCATCTTTTATTTATTTATCATGGGATTTTGAAAAATGTTGATTTAAAATAGAGAGGAAAAAAAAAGAAGGAGGGGAGATGTTAGTTATTTAGTCTGGTTTGGAAGAAGAAGGGGGAGGAGGAGGAGGAATCACTTGGCTGATGTCGTACAGTTTGTCTTCCACATTTTCTGGTAGCCGTGTTTTTTGTGGGGCATGAAGCGAGCTCAGAACACAGCAACGATCCGAGTGCAGCTGCTGAATTTCGTCCAGCGATTTGCTCTCAGACTCGCTCCAGATTTTAAAGCCCGAATCAGCCAAGATGTATAAATATCCCCCAAAGAAATCCAGCTGCAGCATTATTGACCACAGTTTGGAAAATACCTAAAAATGAGACGATCACAACTTTCCTCAGGATTATTAGCTCGTGTTCCCGGAGGGGTTTTCCTTCCCGGCGACTCATCTTGTGTCTTCTTGTGTCTGTTTCTGTTTCGGTCGTATTTGAAGACCTGGACTTTAGCCCCTCGGGGCAGAAAAACAAGAGACTCGATCAGAGCCAAGTCTCTCAAGACTAAACAGTTTCTCAAAATACTCCGTCATTGTCCTCATCTGGCAATGTTGTGTTTATTGCGTCAAGCCCATGAGGTTTTTGCGCTTCGAGATGATAAACTGTGAGCGTTTTGTTGCAACGCTGAGCAGCACTGGGCCTCTTCTCTTTATTTGTGCTCATATTTAAAGGATTTGCACGACGACCTTTTTTAGATTTCAAAATAAAACAATCGTGATAAAATAATATTTCTTGCAAAAAGCGTTCATACTCCTCAGATTTTGCCATATTTTGTCATGTTTCAACCACAAACTTTAAAGTTGTGCCTGTTATGTGTAGCTGCTGAAAGCTTGGGATATTTTTTTTGAAAAACCTTACCACACTTTAAACTTCTCTGTAGTTTCATCTCTGAGTTGTCTGCTGAGCTCCTTGGTCTTCATGATGCCATTTGTTTACCAACATTCTCCCAAAAAAAACCCTCTGAGGCCTTCATAGAGCAGCTGGACTTATGCTGAGATTAAATTACAAGACAATGGGTTGAGATTACAAGACAATGGGTTGCTCTGGATTGTATTTAGCAGATTTTCATTTTTTACTTCTACTCTTATTTTGCCATGTCCACTTAACTTTTCCACTTGTGGGACTAATAACAAATTATCCTTTTACGTTTTATAATGACATTAATAATATTCTTGTGTTACTTTGAGATCCCTTGACATTTGCGAGAGTAATGAGACAAAATGGGAGAGGCGCTGCATGTAAATGTCTTTGATATTTGTTCAAACTATTTTTATTTGAGCTGAAATTGCTAATTTATTCTAAAACAAACAGATTGGAAGAGTTTTACAATTAAAGGGGGGCCTATTCTTAAAATTTACAATAATGATAAATTACACGCACGACACATTTGGCTTTAAGACAGAAAAAAAAACACAAGAAAAACAAAACAACAACATCACACCTGCTGTAGGAGTCGCAGGCAGCGAGCGTGTGAAAACCCCTCCATTCATCTCCTGCCTTGGTTAACCCCTCGAGGGAATGCCTCCGTGGAGCATTCCACAGGGAGAGATCTGTGATCAGATGTCATTTGGTATTATCTAAGGAAGGATCCTAATCCACAATCTGCCCGCATCTGTTTGCTAACGTTCCCCGGCTCCGTCCCCCCCTTTCTTTTTTTTTTTTTTTTCCTCCTCTTCCTTTTTCTTCTTCTTCTTCTTCTTCTTCTTCTCCCCTGCTGCCCCACGCCGCCGCCACTCTGATGTGTTGGTGCCAGCGGACAGATGGCGAGCCCCTGGAGGAGCGGTGGGCACGGAGCGTCTGGCTCAGCCCGCATGTCCTCTCCGAGCTATTGTCAAGCCTCCGGAGTGCAGGAACGACGGTGGGGGATGGAGGGAGGAGAGGGGAGCGCGGGTTCACTTTCCCAACCTTCGATAAACAAAAACACTCTGAATGGAGCAACTTCTCATTGTTTCCTGATTTAGTTCTCCTCAGCAGCTGTTGATTAAAGGGACAAATTTAAGTGTCCACTGCTGCTGTCTCATGTTTAGCTCGGTAACAGACTGAGGATGTAGAGAAACGTCTCCCTGAATAAAAGAATTAAACCATCCAGGTGCTAAGAGAGAGAAAAAAGAAAAAAAACCAAGAGCACATATCTTGACCGCTGCAAATGGCTCTGAATATTCAGCGTCTTCCTGATTAAATCTCTCTTAAGAGCCTCTGCAGAGCGTCCGCCGCTGCACAAAGAGTGCTAACGGTGCACTTTTTATCCCGATGCATTACTAAATGAATGCGTTGACCACAGGGCAAGGTTAGGTTGGTGTTTGGCAGGGATAGCTCTCAGCTGGATTGCAGACACGTGCAGCCGCATAATGCATGCAGGGGAGACGACGAGGTCTGTGTGTGTGGCTTTTATGTTGCAGTAATTTGTAATCTGTATGTAAGGTTGGCGTGTTTTGAAATGCAAGATGAAGAAAGAGTGGGGAAAGGGAGGGTTAGCAGTACGTGTGAGCGCGGGTGTGTATGTGTGTGTTTGTGTGTGTGGTTTAAATTCATTGCACTGTGACCCCAAATCAATAAAAGCAGTTAGCTAATGAAAAAATAAAGTCTGCATGCTGGGGGGCATGCGCACTCCGTCCCGGACCGGGGAGAGCGCTCTGCAGTGAGGCGGTGGTTATCGACGGGGCGCATGAGTCGAACGTGTTGCACGGCTTCAGCAGGTGGAACCCGTAGTGACTGCTCACAGATGAAACGCAGTGCTTTGCAAAACCGCTCATGCAGCTGGAGCTTTTCCACTTTTGGTCACATTGTGACAACCGCAAGATAAAATGCTTTTTATTTAGGGTGGGAGACTTTTATGTGATAAACCAACACAAAGTAGTGCATAATTGTGGCACAGAAGGGAAAACTGTGGTGAGCATTTTTGTTGTTTGGCCCCTTTCACTTTGACACTCTTAAATAAAATCCCATGCAGCCAAATTAATCCAGCTGTTCTGTGAAAGCCTCAGAACTTTAGTGAGCAAACATGGAGACCAAGGAGTACAGCAGACGATGCATCAGGGTGAAAGTTGTGGAGAAGCTTATAGAAAGAGTTAGAGCATGAAACAATAAACCAAAGTTTGGACTTTTCACTTTTATCTCAATCTATCGTCTGAAACTGGGAGGTGTTCAGTGCAGCTGCAAAGCTACCAGGACATAAACTTAAATCAAAGGCTGGCCAATAATCAGAAAATCAGCCAAGAGCCCCGTGACAACTCTGGAGGAGCTGCACAGATCTACAACTCCAAATGGAGAATCTCTTATGCTGAGGACTATAACACTGCAAAAACACACCATTTCACCAAGTATTTTTGGCTAGTTTCCAATGCAAATACGCTTGAAATTAGAAAAAAGATGTAGGAGGTTATATCTGGTAGTAGTACTAGTTCCCCTGCCACATTATTTCACGTAAAAATGCAGGGAAAATGTTTTGTTATAAGTGAAATAATCCATCAATGGAACAAATACTTTTTTTAAGCAAAATTAAGAATTTATTCTCTTAAAAGCAGCTATTGTATCCAACTGAAAAATTACCAGTTTTGCCTTATTTCAAATTTACTTAGATACTTACACTGGAAACTAGACCAAAAATACTTGGTAAGATTTTGTGTTTTTGCAGTGTAGTGGTGCATTTTCTGATTATCGTGAAAAAGAAACGAGCAGAAAGCCGCTGGTGAGAGAGAAGTGGAAAAATGTGATGAGGTCAGCTGAAACTGAATTAGAAATGAAAGGCGGAAAACCAACACCTGAACGCAACACCTCCATTTTGAGACACAGCGGCGGAAGCATCATGCTGTGTGGATTCAGTCAAGGCTTAAAAATGGACGTTCACAAAAGCTCTCCAACAAATCTGACTGAGGTGGAGACATTTATAAAAGACGGGAGACCGTTTCAATCTCTTAAAACGCTGAATTTGACCCGGAACAGATTGAAATTCTGACATTTAGACTCGATATGAACTCACATCTCTTTCTTTGCAGTCATTTGTTTAAAACAAAATGAAAGCAAAGCATAAGTTCCCTTCTATTTCACCATTGCTCACTACTTTGTGTTGTAAAATTCCAATGACAAGGTTTGTGTTTATGGCATGACAAAATGTGGAATAATTCAGAAAGCGTGAATACTTTTGTAAGGTACTATTTATATATGCCACTCACATTCTCTAACCAACTAACGCCATTAAATTTCCCTTAGCTTCCAGGTTAGCTGCTGCCACTAACTCTTAACTGCATGCCTTCCCTCCCCTCTTCATGTCTGCTCTTAATTGACTGTAATCCCTACTACACCAAATTACATATATATAGAAAGAAAACTACAGTTCATCAAGTACATGTGTTTTAAGTTTTGGGCCCGTTCTGAGGTCCTGCCCTTGTCCTGCATGCATGTGTGTATACAGTGTTGAGTTGTAGTGTAATCTGAAGTGGAAGTTGTCTTGGCCCAGTGATCTGACCGCTAGGTTTCAATTGACAGCTGAGGAAGTGTGACTGGAGCGTGACTCAAAACGGCAGGCATTATGGCCCCAGTGCCACTGACGACACTTTGGGGATTGCTTGGCAAAGGTAACCTTTTCGTTCTTTTCATCTGCCGTCTCCCTTCTGTCTCACACATCACATGTATTTACACTTTTGCCCTTTCAAAATTTAATGTCTGCTCTTTATTTTTTGACATCCTCATATAAAACAACATTTAAGAAAGCGATGTTCTCGCACATGAGTTGCGGCTCCTGTTAATGCCGCAATTACTCCATGCATTTCTTTGATGAAAATTTTTTTTAAGTTATTGCCTTTTTTTTTAAAGTGTTTCACTCCCCCCCCCTTTTTGTTCTTTTCTCCCCTTTATTCTGACTTAAGCACTTCCCTTGCAATTATTAAGCGTTTTCTCCTTTGCTAAGTCATGTTTAGAAATGCATTGCTCAGGCTTTTACCGGCGATAAACATTTCCAGTTTTCTTTGAGGTCTGGGCTGATCACTTCCTCTGCAACACATGCAAACTCACCTGTGTAGACTTTACTTTAGTTATAAAAGCAATTGCAGCAATCATCGACCATAAAAGACAAAAAGTACTCCATGTTCCCTGGTTGGAGACTACCTCAATCAAGCCAAATGGGAGTACCTTTGGTTTGAATCCAGCAGAAATTAGTGGGACTCCCGCTAAAGATGTGTAAAAAAGAAAAACCTTTAAATATAGTAATCATTTTATTACCGTAGCTTAATCGTTTTTTTGTTTTGTTTTTTTAAATCCATTTAATTTGACTGTATTTAGTAAGTGGGAATAAAATCCTGAATGAAGAAGCATCATAACTGAGTTTTTATCGAACTGAGCCATTCAACGTTTATCTGAATCCATAAAATGTAAACGAAGCCTTTTGGAATTTAGAATCACGTTTTTAAGGTTGATCAAAGGTCTCAGCTTCTCATCCTGTGACTTAAAGTCTCCGAAATCAAATCTATGCAAGAGAACTGCGGCACAGGAAAAAAGCGTCTCAGCGTCACCAGCTCTGCTTAGCAACTGTTTAAAAGTGTCTAACTTTTCGTCCTACCTTTACAAAGGTAAACAACAGGAGCTGCAGAGGCTCCGAGTTTAATGCAAAGCAAGAATGAGGGTGTGGAAAAGCACCACATTGCCACTCTCAATGCATGGTGGAGGATGAGTGATGCTGTGGGCCCGTTTCTCTTCCTAAACCCATGGAATCAGAGCAAAAATTTAAACAAACTCTTTGAAACATCAAACTTTTTGACAAAAACGATTCCAGTGGTTTAAAGCCTGATCATCATAGAGCGTTTCAACCAAATCTTAAGGCCAAATCAAGACAGGAATGGCTTCATCAGACTCAAAATCAATATTTTTTAATAGCCATTTCAGCCGTCAGATCTTTACAGAAAACCTGCAAAGTGAAATGATTCTATCTTACCTTATTTTCCCAATCTTTATGACGCTTTAGTGTTAAAAGGTTGATTTATTTCGTGGGTTTTCACGCATGTTCATCAGGCGCCACAATAAACGCTGCAGGCACTGAATGTCCCCAACCCTCATTTGATTCGTTGCGAACTTATAAGTAAGTGGATCAAACAACATGGTTGGTGTGTTTACTGACCACTAATGCAGAAAGTTTTGAGATTACAGTGTTTTAGTACTTGTCTGGTGCAGAATCCCTTTAAGAACATTCTCAATAGACACAAAGAAGAATTAAAATTCAGTATTGGTGTTTCTGTAATGAAACGGCGAGAAAAAAAAACATGCAATGTAATAATTCTTCTGCGAGATTTTTTCCTCCTTTTTTTTAAACAAAAAAAAAGCCTCGTTTGAGGTACGTAGCGGCAGCCATGCAGGAATTATCTGGTCTTTGCTTAATCTTGACCCAATGCTCCGTTGTGTTTAACTTAAAGGTGCAGATTACCTCCTCCATCTTGTTTCCACATTGTGTTTCTCTCTCCTCTCTTGGGGGGGAGAGAAAGAAATCCTGAATCGTTTTCAGCATGGCAGAGCAGGCGAGCTGAGCTAAGCCTTTTCCTGTTTCCCTGTACCTCCTTTTCCCCTGGATGTGCAGACCTATCCGTGTGTGTGTGTGTGTGTGTGTGTGTGTGTGTGTGTGTGTGTGTGTGTGTGTGTGTGTGTGTACAGGTCAGTTTGCATTTGGTGAAGTTATAAACACAAATGCACGCAGCACAGACCCCCTTCACAGGCCTCTTAATAGGCGGGTAGAGGTAGCAGAGAGAAATGCCTGCTCGTTTTTTTTTCCCCACTCACACTCCATGTGACTGTACAGTACAGTGATGAGGACAAATAAGTCGCCTGAATTTAACTTATTTTATCCCTCCCTCTGTTTAGCTGTCCAGGCCACGGAGCTGGAATCCATCGGATCTCTCCTTTATCTGTCGCCCTTTAAACTGAAGCGCGTCTCTCCAGCACCGACGCGCCCAAATTGAAAAAGCTGCCAGGCTCGCATGTTGCCATTGTGCAGGAAATGGGTCAGCAATCCATTAAGATGCCATTAGATAATCTAATTTAGCGAGCTAATCCTTAAACGAAGCACGCCGTTCGGCCGGGCTGTGCTCCGCGAGGTTTGGGAAGTTAGTTAGGCTGCCTTAAAGGTTACCTGAGGAAACGCAAACATGGAGGTCGGGTTGCTTGAGTGCAGGAGTAGCGTACATATATCGTGAAGTGCAATAAACTGAGAACACCTTAGCAAACCCGTCATTTTCTGTGTCCTTTTCTTCCCTCCTCAGTTACTCAGCATTTATTTTAAGCCCATTCAAGCCGCCCGAGTCACCTCTTGAACTTTTCAACATGCTATCATGTTGCAGCCACAAACCTCAGTGTGTATTCTGTGGCAAACCACCACAAAGACGTGCACGACTGTAAATGGTACAAAACGATACAAGCAAATCTGAAAAGTGTGGCGTGCATTTGTACGAGCCCACTCCACACCAGCGCAAATCCTGTGCTGCCTTCCAAATATAATTAGTAAATTGTGTTTTTTTGTTTTGTTTTTTGTTTTTTTTTTGGTTATTTAATCATATTTTAAATCCAGCTTTTCTTTGAAAGTTTCAGAGGTTTGTTGGGGAACATTAGAGACATTTGGCAAGAGTAAAACTCCAAAGGTTACAGCATTACGAGCCTTGTAGGGGTAAAAACATACAGAATGCTATAAATGGAATTAAAATAACACTGCGTCTGCATCGTAGTGAAACATGGTGGTGGCAGTATCATGCTGGAGTTAATACACCTGCTAAACATATATAGATAATTAGGAAAAGAAACAAGAGATTTGCAGCTGTAATAGCAGCTGCAAGTGCTTCTGCAAACTCTTACATCAACCCCAAACTTTTGCAGTATTTTGGAAACCCGTCCTGCACACGCCAGATCCTGAAGTTTTGTGGGTTTTGACTTGACGGAGTCTGTCAAAGTTTAGGCGGTATGAACACTTTTTTTTTTTTTGTAAAGTGCTGCGCAAACCTCGGCGCAGAAGCTTTTGGTTTATGGGACGCAGATACGGCCTGACAGCCATCGATTTTAATGAGATTAGGAACGATTTGCACACAAAGACCCGCAAGTGCCCTTTTGTAGCTGTGTGGTCTCCTCCACCCCCCGTTTTAATGTAAGCCATTACATTAAAGAAGTTTCATAAGGAAAGAGAAACAGAGAGAGAGCTGCAGCCCCCTGGCCCGCTCTGTGCGCTCTTTGTTTGGCAAGGTAGGAAAAATTTAATCCCTCGTTTCCTGTCCGATGATTTTTGGCAGGACTGGAGGAGAGAGGGAAGGAGGGAGGGAAGGAGGAGTGGAAGGGCTAGTCGGACAGGAAAATAGAAAAACTGTTAGAGGATTAGCCTTCAAGTCTTTTTTTTTTATATTTAACTCTGTGCAAGCTGGAATGTAACAGAGCTCTTGTGATTTTTTTTCTTTTTTTGCTTTTGTTTTGAACACATCTCCGCCGCTTTCTCGTTCTTTTCACTTCATCGCTCGGGCAGCTGGTGTTTTCACGCCCCGAGGTGAATTCAATTTGCACTTTCTTTGTTTTAAGCGCAACAACTGCGGCTTGCGGTTGATGTGAAACTCGGACAGGCTGCAGAGTTGCTTTTCATGAGACTCTCTCCCTCTCGCTCTCTCTCTGTCCACGCTCCTTAAACATTTCACTCTTTTTACTCGGGATCTGCGTCGCAGGTATTCTCATCCGAGGCGAGAGGGTGACGCGTTGGCGCACACTGAGGGGCTGGTGAGGAAGAAAAGGAGAGAAAAGAGGACGAGGAGGAGAACTAGGGGGAGGGGGGGCTAATTATCTGACATCTACGCAGCGCAGCACCTCTCGGGAACAACATGCCGCTTGTTCCCGCTCGCGTTTTCAGTTAGCACCGTTGCTCCCCGGGAACAATCACCGTGTTGTTTTGCCATTAGCGTGAGATGAATAGGGATGGGGCAGCTTTGTGCACAGACCCCACTCTGCTTCTTTTAACCCCCTCTCCTTCGGTGCAGAGGAGCGGGCACTGCGTCACGACCCTCTCACATGATCACCTCCGCTTAGTCACATGTCTTAGTATGCCATTCTCACGGTATTAGTAAAAATGCTGCCTTTATACATATATATAACGCAGTATGCATATGTACAGGCAGCTAATGAGACTAGAAAGCAGTAACATGGTTGGAGAGAGAAGAGACGAGGTTTCAGTGTGGCCTTAAAACCAAGGCGGTTCTGACGCCTAAAAGTCACATTTATTTTAATATTCTGACAATTTCAGTGGATATTTTTACTAATTGATACATATATTTTCTATTGGAGGTGGTTGAATGTTTCCAGATGCATAAAGACGCTTAAAAGATCGTTTGAAATCGCGCTAAGTAGCTAAATCTAAATTTAGCATCGTTAGCTGTTACTGGTTAGCCTTCTATCAGAGTACCCACAGATTCAGACAGCACCTTGTGTCTGTGTCCATTTTTATTAAATGTTCTGACAATTTGAGTGAATATTTTTAGCAACTGATACATATATATATTGTATTGGAGGTGGTTAAATGTTTCCAGATTCATAAAGACGCTTAAAAGATCGTTTGAAATCGCACGCTAAGTAGCTAAATCTAAATTTAGCATCGTTAGCTGTTACTGGTTAGCCTTCTATCACAGTACCCACAGATTCAGACAGCACCTTGTGTCTGTGTCCATTTTTATTAAATGTTCTGACAATTTGAGTGAATATTTTTAGCAACTGATACATATATATATATATATTGTATTGGATGTGGTTAAATGTTTCCAGATTCATAAAGACGCTTAAAAGATCGTTTGAAATCGCACGCTAAGTAGCTAAATCTAAATTTTAGCATCGTTAGCTGCTACTGGTTAGCCTTCTGTCAGAGTACCCACAAATTCACACATTCCACCCCCCACGTCGATTCCAACTTCATTTTTGTAGTAACCACTATGACAACATTGGCGTCATAGTGGCTACTACTCTTTACATTATAATTTTAGAGTTGTTAGGAATGCAGTTGCTTTTGGCTACGACATTTAAGCTATTATGGGTTTACATTTTTCACGCCAGTGTGACTTTCAGCCTGTTGGATGTCGTCTCCTTGCGTACCCACAACGTTAAGTGATAGAAAAATAGTGAGCAAAATATTGTGCAAAAGTTTTATTATTAATGTGGGTTTTGCATAATTTTCTCATAACATTAGCATAGTTATCTGTTTTTGAAAAGAAGACCTTAGTGACAAACAGCATTCTTCTTTCAGCCAGCTGACCGGCATTGCCCTGCGTTACTCAATGCTCCACTGTGCTGGAGAAAACTTGAGTCACTTCATTTTTTTTCTGGAAAATAATTAAAAAGATTTGTTATTTCTTGTTTTTGGTTGCTGATGTTCATAATAACTACATAAACCTGCAAAAAGGAGAAACTCCCAGCATGTCGCTAACCATTATTTCTGTGTCTTTTTGTGTGTTTTCTTTCTCCAGTCCTGGTACCTGGGCGAGCTTAGTTCCATTCCAAGTGTCGAACGGGACTCCGATTCTGCCAACAAATGTCCACCAGAACTACAGCATAAACATCATTGGTGAACCGCTGGTCCCCGCCGAGTCCGGGAACTGAGCTCATCGAGGCTTGACCCACCTCCGCCCTCCCCCCACCCAGAGTGGAAGGGTGGGGCAGAGCTAGCACTACAGGTGTTTGCAGCCATGGATGAAACCAGCAAAGCAGCAGGTGCTGCATAAACCCCCTCCTCATCCATCGATCTCCTCACCTTCGACCTCCCGACCCCCCCAGTCTCACCTCTTCCATCTCCCCGCTCCCACTCCTCGTCCTCATCCTTACGATGTTGATGATGATGATGATGATGATGGACAATGGCCCTGAAGTAAAGATGACGAGTGGACGGCTCAGAGGAAGGAAGAAAAGCTTCAGGTCTGATGTCTCCTCGCACACATCCACCCACCCACCAGTCAGTTGTTGCGTTTGCAGAACTTTTTTCAATCCATCTGAATACTGTGATGTATAGATGCCTTAATGTTTAATTGCATGACACTCTAGACTCTTGGCAGTAATTCCTACTTATTGTTCAACGTCAGAGGAAGGTGAAAACCGTTTTGAACGCCCTGCAAGACACACACACACACACAGTCAACCGAGGGGGGGTCTGCAGATACATCCCTGCCTGGTGGATGGCTAAGAGACTCTGAACGAACGAACGATCCACTGTGTACACCGTAGGAGCAAAAAACAAAAAAAAAAGAAAAAAATTGTGAATTCAGAGTGTTTTTTTTTCCTTCCGTTTGATTTCAGTTTACTGTGATACGACTCTTTGTTTTTAAGGAAAAAAAAATGTGTTGACTTTGTTTCTTTACTGCTACTTATTTCAAGAACTAATGTAAACACTTATTGGGAGAGTTGAGAACTCTTGATGCAGTTTAAAAAAAAAAAAACACTAAATGCTAACAGCTTGACATTGGACCCCTCCTTAAAAAAACAAAAAGAAGAAAAACTACTCGCAAGTCCTTTTCAAAAGGAATGTAATAATAAAAGAGGAAGAAAAAAAGAAAAAAATTTGCGACAGAGGCAAGTGCAATTGAATTTTTTTTGAAGGGAAGCTATCAGTCTGACTGCCCTAAGACTCTAAAGGAAGGGGGATAGTTATTAAATGTTTAAGAATATGATTTCAGTCACATATCCATCTCTTCGCATGAGTAAAAAGTGTGAAAGGCAGTTTGAAGACAAGCGTAAAGCTACCTGTGCAACAGAAAAAAGAAGAAAAAAAAACAGCACTTAATCTGATCTGAGCACTTCCCATCACGATGGGCAATTTCTTTCTTCTTAAACAATCTAAAATAAGTCGAGAAATTACACACACAAAGTGTGCGTGAAAGAGACATTTTGTTTCAATTAAAAAGCATTTGGCCGTCAGCTTGTAAAGCTTATGTGTACAGTTATTATCCATGCAAATGTACTGTAATCTTCATGGGTAAAGCTACAGCTTGTGCAAGGCGAACTCTAAAGTGGAAGAGGGTGAAAACTGAAATTATGAATCCAGGTGGTGGCATATCCCCGAAAATCAAGATCTCTGCATGGCAATCCCACAGCTGTTTGCCCCTCCAGTCCAGACAACACACACACGCACACGCATATATATCTATATATATATTTACACACACACACACACACGAGAAAAAAAAAATTCTCCGATACTCCTAATTTTGCACGACGACATATAGTCCACATTACGTGCCTTGCCTTTGAATATAGAGACATCACTACAGTTGTTTTTGCTGCATTTATCATTATAGAGAGAGAGAAAAAAATAACATTTTTATGATAAGAATTGTTTTGTACTTTGAATGAAATTGTTGATTTTTAACTTCATGTACTACTCTATCTCACAGTTACATTGCATATCAAGGCTGTGTATAGTTGCTGTTTTAAAGTTTGTAATCTACCAGCATTTGGGTTTTTTTGTGTTTTTTTTTCAGTATTTTGGTGGTTTTTCTGATAACCTTTCATCTTTTTGTTTTCTCTCTTATCTTGAATTCTCATTTTCTTCATCTTCCCGTTACTATTGTGGAGGGTGGAATTCAGAAATATGAAAATTATGCAATACCACGTTTTGCCTATGTAGGTAGTGCTTATAGATGTGTCAATTATTAGAGGCTAGTTTGGAGATAGAAAATATGGTAATGCATTTATTTTGTTGATGTTGTTGTCCGTCGCTGTTGTTGTTGTTGATGATGTTGTTGTTGTGGGTGTTTCCTTTTTTTTAATTTTTTTTTAATTGACCAAAGTGGGGACTGCTTTCTATGCAGTGTAAGGCAAGGTCTGAGTTTAGTTTTTTTCTCGTTTCCTCCAGCATCTACCGAATGACAGTCAGACATGTTTCAGTGTAATCTATTTTTTTGGAAAAGGGTGGAGTTTTTTTAGAAGTATGTGTAAAAAAAACATTAGAACTCACCCTGTGTTGGTCTTAGTACGGCTGCAAAGTCACTAATTAGTCTGCTGTGACTAGGCATGGGTCGGTTACCCGTATCGAGTTTTTTCACCGCTTTTGAAAGTTTAAAACGTCTTTAATAAGAAATCAAATCCGTTTTCCTCCATCTGTAAGAAGCCGCATTGTCGCTGTCCCTTCACAGCTGATTAGCTAGAAAATAACACAAAATGAAAACTTTTCCAGTTGTCCAAAAACTAATGAAAGGGTAACTAAAGGACTACGTCCTTTCACTTTCCACCCGTGCAGGATGTAGCCCGATGAATTAACTTGTTAATAATAGCTGACAGTGCTCCGAAAGTGGTTTCAAACATTGATGGAAATGTTTGATAGTCTGCGCGTTAAACACTAAAACTAGTGCTGAAATTAGAGTATGTTTTTTAAAATACATTTTTGCCTATGTCTGCACTTAAAAACAATGCTTAAAGCAGTAAAACATAAAAGCGTTCTCTAATTACCTTTAAAGTAATGCAATTGAAAAGCAATTTGCTGATGGTCTGACTAATTTACTAGCTATTGTTAACTAGCTCTTCTCCTTGCCTTAGCTGTAACATTTGCTGCAATACAGTCGTATACTTGCAGGATTTTTCTCAAGTTTTGCTGAAGTCCTCATATCAAAATCAAAATAATCAAAACATTTTATTGACAACTTTATAGTTGTAATAATCTATATGTTAAATTGTTTTGGCTGCAGCAAGAACAATTGTTTCTTTTGTTTTCTGCAAAAGCAGTTAGGTTGCGTCCGTCTGTAAACGCCGTCGCCACCGTGGCGTTTTCGCTCAAACCCACACCGACCCATGCCTAACCGTGACTCTTTCTTTCAACTTTCCACCTGGGGTGCTAGCATGTAACCTTTCGGAAGGAGCTGATACATTTTACAGGAGAGACGGCTTGACTTGAGCACGACAATCATTGTAGGAGATCATTTTTTTTCTCGTAGAATCCCGGTCGGTCTCAGATCCCCGGAGGGCTTCCGCCGCGCCCTCTTGTTCTCTCTTTCTTCCTCGGGAGACGTCAGCCGAATGCAATTCCCGAATAGATGCCTTAACAAACACATCAGCTAAGTGGCCTGTGACCTGCGCAACAATCACACACCAACTAATGCTAGTGAGACCTGTCCAAATCAGTTCCAGACAGGCTCAGGCAAGCCTTTAGAGAGTATTTTATACCTAGTAGATTTGTATAAATGTATATAAACACACATACTCCCCTTGCCGAACCAGTAAAAGTGTGTTAAAGTAATTATTGGACTAGAGAAGAATGTTGTTTTAATGGCCGACTAGAAGCTTAAATAGAATCCACTAGATAAGGAAATATATATAGCACTTAAATAGAGCACGTAGGCAATCATCTTCTCCCCCCGTGCAGTGTTCAGAAGTCTCAATCTAAACCTCTCAGGCATATTACAGGGCATTATGTATTTCAATCATACCGTCGTTAATGTAGAAATCAGTTTTCTCTCAGAGAAAAAGCAGCTCTTTTGCACTCTTTCCCTGCAATCGTGAAAGAAATGTTTCCTTTTCTGAGGGGCGAAATTTTCCCGAGCGCTCTCTGGTGTGAGCAGTAAACAAAATGATCCTCAAGTCAAGCTCAAGCTCTTCGTCTTCACCCGGATTTATTATGCAGATAAAAAAATTATATATATATTAAGTTTTTTAAAAAAAGTCACCCCGTTCTATGTGCACTGTTGTGTCTTTAAGTTTTATTTAAAAAAGAAAAAAGTGCTTTGCAGCCTTCGGCCATTGGAGACCCACTGAAGTGAATTGTCCCCAAGTGTGTGTGTTCATGTGCGGAGTGTGTGTGTGTGTGTGTAAGGGTCACTGTGCTGTCAGTGTTTGGTAAAATTGGGAGACTGTACATAAAGGTAAATATCCTGATCGTGTTGCTGGCTGTGGGGGTCAAACTGCCTCTGCAGCTGAAGTGTGCATGCAAGGCGAGAGAGCAGCTGTGTCGTTGTGAGCTGGACGTCGTGCGATCGAGTGCCTCTGACGCTACACGAAATGAGAAGATGAGGGTCTTTTTGTTCACGTAAATAAAACATTTTTTGGTTTTTCTTTTTAAAATCCTGCCGTAGGACAGGAGTTTGTACACTGTAAACTTTTCTGGGGAGCTCTTGTCTTGAAGATGGTATTTGTAAATCTTAATTTCTGGGGGGGGCTTGGGAGGGAGCTAAGCAAGTCAATTCCATTTTAGGAAAACTAAATTAATTAGCATTTAGTTTATTTTTTTATTTTAGATGCTGGATTTGAGTTAGAACTCTCCAGGTTACCCAGAATAGTGTTGTCATCACGTTTGTATTCCTGTATGTATTAAAAAAAAGAAAAAGAAAATGTGGCAGGTTGGAGATCAGTAAGAATAAAGAACAACAATGAAGGTTTTTTATTACTATTATTAATGTTATTATTTCTCATTATTCCTAGTGCTTAGATATTACTATTTTTGGGGGGGAAAAAACTCCATGAATATTTGAATTGTACTTTGATTAGAATGGCCATAGTAAGTGTGATGTGACGTTTCTCAAAATTTGTAATTTCTTTTCTCTTTCTTTCTGTTTTATTTGATCATTTTCTTTGCTTTTTTTTTCTCTCAAAATGGGTGTAAATTCTTGTTGAACAAGCGAGTGGCGTGAATGTGTTTTGTTGTAGCAGCTGGGAGGGTGACGTCACTTAAACCAGTAAAAGGCAAACAACAACAACAAAAAAAAAAGAAAATATATATAAAACAACAACATAAAAAAAAGAAAATTAAAGGCCACAGATTGCATCTGACATTAAACGAATGACGAGCAGGGTAAAATCTCCAGTGACAAACGTCCTAAAACAAATAAAATATTTAGTTTCCTAATGGAAATGTGTCAATCGGTGCTCGCTGCTGCTCATTTTGCCCCTCCGCTAATTTGTACTTTTGCAGTTTTGGTTGTGCCATGTCTGGGTTTTCCTGCGCTGTGACCCGGGACACTTCGTTCAGTTTCGCTCTGCCTGACAAGACAGTTTCACATCAAACTGCTCTGATCTGCCTTATGATTTAATTTACTTTTTAAAATAAAAACACATTATTAAGATTTTGAGGGAATTGTGGCTTTTATTAATCAGTAGCCCAATTTAATATTCTCAAATTGAAAAATGTTTAATTGTTCCTTGTTTGTGCATCGATAATCACATTCTGTTCATATATTTTTTTTGTCAGAACAAGTGCACTAATCTGCTTTGAAGAATAGTCATCTCCACAATGGACCAATGGGCAAAACTTAACAAAGCATGAGGTAATATATGACAAATTAAACAATGGGTATAAAAGGGTTTTGTTTACAGGTAGTAAATGGTACAAAAGAAGTAACAAGATGATGGTTCATGTTCGAACTTGACCCAACATGGCGAATCGTTCCCCATTTTGTACGTTTTGCCATTTAATTCCATCCGACTTCCATTGAATGCAAACCGCTTACGTTTTCACGGATGTCATTTGTTGAAAAGTAAGTACATCCAATTGATGCGGAGCCGAAACGAAATGTCCCGAGGCCATTAAACCGAAACTGCTAAAGCATAAAATGACAAGGGAGCGAAACAGCCAGCACTCTTATCTAATTTTACTGACCAATTTGTTGTTGATCATGGTCAATAATCAATTGTCTTCTGAAGAATGTCCTAAAAGATCAGTATCTACACATCAGTCATTTTGCACTTTTCACATGCTTGATGTACTATATAGAAATCCCCGCCTTTGTATAAATTTAAGGTGCTTCACTTTAGGGTACTTTACTTTTCCAGCTGAGGTATATATTTTTTATTTGGTTTTGTTTTTCAGTTTGAATGTCGAAAACGTCCTGAAACTTTATTAAAAAAAACAAAAAAACATGTAAACAGTGTTCAATCTATCTGCAGCGTCATGTCAGATCATTATTTTAATTTTTGTCTAAAGTATTACTACTCTAATCATGACAGGAACAGGGCAACCATATGCAAGGAGGACCTGTGGCACTCATGCAATATGTGTGGTTTTATTTTTGTCTTACTTTGAGCGTTCTGAAGGGCCTGAGAGGCGTGCAGGCGCAAGGGAAACCTCGTTTTCATCCCACTCGAGCAATACACATCCTCCATACTGTTGGCTAGCTGCTGGTCACTCAACGTCAGGTTATAAAGCAAACATTAAAACCAGCATTTTTACACAGGTTGTGACTCTCAGCAAACGGCGATGAGAAGCTAGCAGTGCCTGTTCAAGCTGTCCAAGCGTCTGTTGTACATAACAGTAGAATGTGATAAACATACCTTGCGTCACTCAGAGGAGAATGTGGCGAAGTCATCTGGAAAATGTGCTTTTCATTACAGATTTATTGATTTTTTTTTTTTTTTGTCTTGTTTTGAAATGTTTTCATATTATAAATATGTCAACACACATGTCCGCATCAAACTTGTTTAAAATCTAAAATAGTTTTCCTTTTCTGGGGAGTCGGAGCAAAGAGGGTCAGTGCTGCATTCTGTGCAGTGAAAGGATGAAGTAATGTATTTTCTCTTCTCTGCAGAGCTGATTTGTTGTTTGTTTTGTTTTGTTAAGGTGGGTGGTGGGGGTTTTGTGGCACTTTTTCTTCCCTCTGCACACACATTTGACTCTGAGGAACTACGGCGGACGTGTACGTAACGAACAACAACATCACCAACAACAAAACAGTATGTTAGCAGTCTCCAGTAGTGATCGTAGTTACACTGCAAGTGTGTTCAAGGTCTATGTATGTATCTGAATGTATGTTTTAGAGGAATTTTGGAAACCTGTTTTTTTTTTCTTTTTTTTTATTATTATTATTTTATTTGATCTTTTTAATTTACAGTCTAGGAGCCACAGGTGTCCATTGTGAACTGTATAGCGAAGGCCTTGATGTCCCTTCTTTTTATTGATTTTTAGTAATGCGAAGCATTTAGGCAATGCCTTCAAGCTGGTTACATTTGATGCAGGGGCTAAAATTGCCACAAGATTAAAAATCAGTGTAAATAGAGGCTCAACTTTTTGTGATTGTTACTGTTATATCCAGCCTATACTGCTAGCAGCTGTTTTTACTGCAGTCAATTACTGGAAGTGGATATATTTCCTATGCAAAACTGTTTAAACAATAAAATGAGCTATGCTACAAAAACGACTTCACAACTGTGACTCTTTCTTGTGTTTATCTTTAACATTTGATTGATGAAATATCTTATGTCTGCTTATTTTTTGTTTTTTGTTGCTGTTCTTACTGTATGGATTGTGAAGGAATGTAACTAAAGGCGCTCCTCAGGGAGCAGTGTGGGGCCCACTTAACAAGTTATTGTAACTTTTCAGTGATCCATCCATTTTCTAACACCCTTGTCCTTAGTGGGGTCGGGAGGTGCTGGTCTATCTGCAGCTGACCTTCCAGGCAGGAGGCGGGGTCACCCTGGACGGGTCGCCAGTCTGTCGCAGACTTTTGAGTGATAATATAGTGAAACAAAGTAGTGAAAAGTATAAAATATAGAAAAAACAGACTATGAAAAACTTTTTCTCTGTCCAACGCATTAATTTATTCATTCATCTATTTGTCAATGCAGTTGTTTTTCTAATTCATCCATCCATTTGTCTTTCCTTCTGTCTTTTTTATGTGGACATTACTATGAGAATTATCTTTCGTACCTGACACTGTTTTGCCTTTTTTGTCACTTCTTCAGTTCACATTTGAATTTTAATGGAAACAAAATTATCACCCATAAGACAGATGTAAAAAAAAAAAAAACAACAACAACTCCATTATTGTACATATTTCCTGCACTGGGAAGTAGCAAATGGGTATTTTCAAAAACATTTTCCAGGTTTTCTCAACAAAAACCCTGTTTCTGTTTACGTGGAGTCAGTAGATTTTTCCCCAAAATTAGTTTCGGTACAGATCGGGTATTAACGTCCCTGGAGCGAAACATTGGCTTTCTCAACAACATGGCAGCTGAAAATCTCTTTACTAAAGAGAGAATAAAATATTTTATACTATAAGAGAAGACTCAATTGCATATCATTGTAGTTAGAAGCAGAATTAAGGTGCTTTGTACAGTGTAGTAAAGACAAGTCTTCCAAAAGTTTAGGTCAAGCTGATTGCACACACTGTTACTCTCCTTTATGTTTATTCCCAGAAATGTGGAGCACTGAATGTTTTGCAAGGCGAAAAAAGGTTTAAAAAGAACCTTAAAGCAGATTCAAGGAAGGAAATAAGGACAGTATGAGATCAGAGGGGGGAAAAAAAGTATCTTAGTCCTGTAATTGGATTTCCTTTGATTCTCCGAAGTATCTGTCACAGTAAGGCTTGAACGCAAACATCAGTTTATGTCCAGCAGCGATCCTGTAACTCCCCACCCCCATTTTCCATTGTGGCATTACTCTCGCTAATCTGCCGTAACACCCCAAATCCCCGGAGAAAGGGGACACGGTGTTTGGACCTCAGATTTAGTCCATCAACACACCGGAGTGCCACACCAGGTAGCATCCATATGGGTCAGTGGGTCAAGTTTGAGAAGCTCTGATTGAGTAAGTCCTTCTAATGGGATTGAGGTCATTAGAAGGGGGCAAACGTCATGTTAAAGCGGCAATTAAATCTAATTATGGCGCCGTGTGACGGGCTTTTCTGGACAGTTGACGACAACAACAGGAACCGTCGGCGGTGCCCTGCAGGCCAGGTGGCTCGTCCGCTGCATGGGTGCCCTCCTAACGGTGATTAAGGCGCTATATGTAGCACGCCAACACCAGAAAAGCCCACCTGGCCTCGGGCACAAATCAGACTATTTTTGGCTTCCATTAAAAGGGACCGACAATGTGGCATGCGGATATAAAATTACTCAATCTATAATGGTAATCATTATGCCATTTATCAAAATTGGCCAGTTGAATCAACATCTGGCTTCAATAGGAAGCTCTTGTCGGTGAGGGTCTTGGCAGCGTCTTGTACCCTACATATTTTCCATTCTCTTTTATCAAGGCCTGCTGTCAGTGATTTGACGAAGCTAAATAGATGATGATTTGGTCTTATTATGTTTCACAGAGCTCCAGCAAAAGGAGATTTGTTGATTGCCTTTGTGTTTGTCCATTTTCCCTCCTCTTCCGCATACGACTCCGGGGGAAAATAACGGCGCCTCACGGCTGTCCGATGTGCGACTCCACTGTGTAGCGGAGAGGGGGAAAAAGCACAGCGAGTTCTCTCACACCAACCTGTGAGCGCAGAGGCTGGACTGCACCGTTGGACCCGAGCCAATGCCAGCACAAAGAGCTCTGTCACGTCTTAAGGTTGAAACGGAGAAATATAAAATTTGTCTTGCTGGAATTAATCCATTTCCTCTTTTGGCACAAAATTGTGACTTTAGCGCACTTTATCTGGCAGGAAGCAAACACAGCAGAGTTTGTTCACATTTATTTTGTTAGTGTTTACTTATGCAGATCTTAAATTTCTAGTATGATTACATAGCATAGCAACAAACACATCTATGCTGGGATTGTGGGAGAAATACACTAACACTTCTTGGCATTGAAGAATAAGTTGATTTACTTCACCAGGAAGCAGCCGAGGCAAAGTTTCTGTTTAGTGATCTCGACCGTATGTTTTTAGGGTTAAAGGTCGAAAAAATTACATGAAGGTATTTTTGTAAATACAAATCAAGACAAGTCATTAAAGATCTTGGGAGTCATTTTGTGTACGTTCACCACTGTTCCATGTTTTTTCCACGTTTGTGCATCGGCTCTCGGTAAAGCCAAGCGGGTTGCAGTTTCTTTCAGAGTTTCGGGTTGGTTTCAATAGATTGAATCACGATTTGAAAACAATGTTTTGTTTAATTCCCTGATCATTTTCAGATGAAGCAATTTTCCCAGCTTTTGGTCACTGCCTTCGCTCTTATCCTACAAATATAATCGAGTAATTTATTTTTATTTTTTTTGTACTCTTATCCTGACTGATACCTTTGTAACCTGTCTGCAAACTCTGGCTTCAGCTACAGATTGAGAGATTAGTGAATGTCAGGAAAATCCTGCTAACACAGACAAACCTCTTACAGGTTTAGTGTATTTAGTGAAAGCTAAAGAAAACTAACTGCTGAAGCTGAAAATGAAGAAAATGGTTCAATACAGTTTTAGTTTGAGAATTTGCCCCTTTTTTTTAAAATACCTAAATATGCATTAATACACAAAGTGAAAACCATTGTAGTGGTACTACAGTATTTTTTAAATTATTATTATTTACTTTCTTGGATATACAGCCAATATAAAACAAATGCTACTGCTGAATCGGCTGCTTTGTAGACACCAACCAATAGCAGGTCAAGTAGCATTGCGTCCAGACATGTCAGATTCTCAAACATTTTCAGTTTTTGCAAGAAAAAAAATCAGCTAATACTCAAATTTTACTCAAATACTTCAGTGTTGAACTGCGAATAAGTTCAGTTTTTGTGTTAAAAAGTGATTGATAAATACCTATGTTGGGTTTTACCATAACTCTGGAACAGTTTGTCGAATTAATTACCTAAATAACGACAGATTTCTCCCTCTGGGATTTCTGCTGAGCACCAAAACTTTTAACTCAAGAGCTTTAATGAAGAGACAACCAAAATCTTCTCCTGCATTTGTTTGCAGACAGAGAGCTTGGAGCATCCAGGAGGGACGTCCAAAATTAAAAGAAAAGAAAACAGCTATGATCCTAAACGCCACTCTGAGCTCCAGTATTCCCACACAAATTAGCATAAATTTCATAGTCGAAGTCATGGACCGTGGCTGGAGCGTGTTATTAGTCTATCTTTAGGTGGAAGTACAGGCCGATCACGCTGGGCCTCGTTGTGATCTCATTGAAAGCGCCCTGGTATTACACCCCGCGGATTGACAGTGGGTCTTAAGATCGTGGGATTTGTTCACATATTAATTCATGTCTGTTTAGATACGCAGAAAAGAAACAGGTGCTCGGTGTTTATGTGCGTCAGAGTGGGAGAGGAGTTGTGTGTCGTTGTGTTTTCCGCTGTGGTGTTTGTTGGACGGCGCACACGGGACGCTTGTGAGCGAGTGAGTGTGCGTGCGCGTCCGCGTGTTTGTTTGTGTGTGTATGAATTGACAGAAGGGTGGGGGTGCTTTATTGAAAAGTACTCCTCTCCTCCCCTGTTCAACATGCTGGATTAGCACCAGCAGTTTCCCATGGAGCCGTCCCTCCCAGCCCCCCACCCATTTGCATAAGGCGCAGACAGGCGGAGATGTGACAAACAAACCTGGCACACAGAGCGCCGGCTGCCTTCTTTACATGAACTCTTTCACTCGATCCCACCGTGACAAGAAAGACGAACAAGACGGCGACCAAAGCAACCCACCTGTGCAACTTCTGCAGGGTGAAACGCAAAACAAGAAAAGTTTAACGCCCAAGCTGTGCCAGACTGGGGCTGTAGCCAGATTCAGTGTCACGACAAAGTATCTGCTTCCTGCAGGGATTCTTTTGTTTACTTCAATGTTGAAGATAATCAAATTAATTTTAAACATTGGTTTATACCCAGACATTCTCCTTCACCATGTTTGATTGGAGGTATGATGTTTGGTTTTTTGAAATGCTGGGTTATTTCTGTTGTCAAAGAAGTTCTGCATTTGTCCTGTCAGTTCGCAGACTGTTTCCCCGAAGGTCCTGGAGATCATACAGATGATGAGATTTAGTTTATTGGTGCTTTTTGGTCATTAATGCAGGGGTGTCAAAATCGGTTTCATTTTGGGCCAAATCAAGATCTTCAATGCTCTTAAAGGGCCGGTTGTGCCAGAATGTATTGCTGAAACCAATAAACTAACTTTTAAAATATGCATACATACTCAAAATCAAGTAATATTGAACATCTTTTCAGTCCCTCCAGGATTTCACAATTTTTGGGGGGATTTTTAAAACAAAAATCAAAGTGTTTATGGCACTAATTTAGAAATATTTGCACTTATGTATGATGGCAAATGCAGATTGTTATGGATTATAAATCAAGCAAGGCTCAGGTAGATGTTTAGCAGAAGTAAGAAACATCCACCTATAAGCTGGAGTAAACAGTCACTTAAATCCAATATTTTTCACAATCTCTTCCAAAAATCTGCAATAAACTCACAATTATGCCCACAATTCCACATAATCTGCCACTGAAAAACAAG